TCTACAAGTGCAACAACCACCTCAGATTTGAGGGATCCAGAATGAGGGAACAAACAAGACCCGAGAAACATAACTAGTCAGGAACGAGCAATGAACCAAAGCCCAAAGTGAAATCAAAAGAGTGAGCTTTGCAAAACCTTCGAATCAAACTAGGGAAAGTCAACTTTTTAGTGAAAATATGAGTACACCGACGAAATGAGGAGCCAAAACCGCAAGAAAGAGAGAGAAAGAAAGTCCAAAGAAGGAAGTTGAACAGGGAACTGAGGCGATATTTATCGCCATGGGGGTATTTAAAGCTCGGAGTATGTGGGACGAAATGTGCACAAAAAATGAGGAAAAAAATTGTCAAAAAGTATCCTCCACATGCAAATCGAAGTCTCTGTGTAAAGGTCTAACTCGGCCTCAGTGCAGCTTAGCCCCTATCCAAGCCCGCTTGGACCAAGGGCTGGGGGGCAACTGATGATACCTAGAAAGAATTCTAGCTAAGTATGAGTTCGGGAAGTGAGGTCAGACAAGGAGGTCAGATAAGATATCTAGAGCTCAGTGGTCTAGACCTCGAGCTCCCCTTAGAGGAAACAATAAGGGAAATGATAAGGAAACAACTGGTTAGTGGAAGGCACCCCCGAAGCAATAGAAAGTTATAATTAAGGCACAAAACTCTCAACTAATCAAGATCCTCTCCCAAAATCAAGGGAGATCTGGTGGATGGAAGGCAAAAATCTCGCTGGAGATCCTATAGAGGTAGGAATTGGATTATAAATATTGTACAGTGCCTCCAAGGCGGGGCAAGAAACCTCAGTTGTATTAGAAACACTCTGTAAATCACACAGGCCATTAATATAGATCCAAAAGGCAAAAGACTCCATTGAAGAGTGGATTAACCGAGTTTCTGAACTAATGAGTCACTATATTTTCACTATACAAATCATCCCATACCCTACAAGAATCTTATCACAATCTTGACGAGCCTAGTAGCTCTGACGAGACCTAATTCTCATCCACCACATTCTACTTACCCACGTTTAATACGCTATCTCTAATCAACCAAAAAAACACACACATGGTCTAGATACCAAATGTGTAATTAATGCTCAGTTCATTAGAACCCTTCAACATTTACTAGTCATATGTGACCGTCACCTCATCTGTCAAGGACTCCACAGAACCAGCACTAGAAGCAGTATGTGACTTCAGCGCTATGCATATAGTCGTCGGTCTCTTCTCCGGCAAACTCATCAGAGGCTCGTTGGCGTTCATGAAAATCTGCAACACCTTCCTCATTCTTGGCCGGAACCCACAATCTGGATGCAAACAAGCAAGCCCAACAATCAAAGTCCTCCTCACCTGTTCTTCATCGAATTTTCCTTCAAGTTTCTGGTCAACACAATCTAGCAGTCTATCTGTTCGATAAAAGTCCCAAACGAAGTCAACCAAGCTTTTTTCTTCCATGATGCCCTTTGATCTCCGCCCACAAACAACTTCCAGCACCACCATTCCAAAGCTATACGCATCAGACTTCGGCGTAGCCCTTCCTATGAAGCTGAGTTCTGGAGCCAAATATCCCGGTGTTCCGGCTATCATGGTAGTGACGGAAGCTTCATTTTGCAGCAATCTTGCAAGCCCAAAGTCACCCAGATGGGCATTGTAATCAGAATCGAGCATTATGTTGTTGGGCTTCACGTCTCTGTGCACGACGGGGTTGCCGCATTCTTCATGGAGGTAGACTAAGACTGAGGCAAGTCCGGTGAGTATGTTGCACCTGGTTTTCCAGTCGAGGAAGACCTTGCCGATGAAGCGGTCGAGGCTACCATTAGGCATGAATTCATAAACTAGGAGGAGTTGTTGGCGGTCATGGCACCAACCATGGAGTTGCACCAAGTTTTTGTGCCTTAGGCGCCCAATAGTGCATATTTCTGCCAAATACTGCCTCTCACCTAGTTTAATTAGAGGAAGAATGTGGCATTAGTACATGTTACGCACGAAATCAAACAATCAATAGAACTAGATTGAGTAAACATAACTTAAAATGCAAGCAAATACGTAGTTTGACTCAAAAATTTACGTCCTGAGTTTAAAATCAATCGGCTTTTATGTTGAAGCAGGTACAAATTGGATTGGAGTATCAAAAGAACAATGCAATTACATTTCTTAACAAAGTTGGGAATATTTTTTGAGGACTCGAGGAAACAATTCTGATTTGAGGCTATTTTCACCCTACAAATATCAATTTTTACCCTATTTAATTTTTTATTATCAAATTACTAAACCCACTCATTCTATCTTCACCCCATTAGTAATTAAATCCATTTCATGCTATACACACCCCATTAGTGGCTCACTCATTCTATGTACACTCATTTAATGACTTAGTCTACCCCTTGAATGCATAAATATATTAACGAAACAAGACTATTGCAAAAATGAAACAACGAAAAAAAAAAGAAACAAGCAAAACCGAAACAAGAGAAAAAAAAATGAACAAGCTAAGACGAAAACAAGAAAAAAAAGAAACAACGAAAACTGAAACTAGAAAAAAAAAAAGAACCAAAATGAAACAAGTTAAAAAAAAAAAAAGCAAATCGAAACAAGAAAAAAAAAAAAGGAAAAAGCAAAGATGAAAATTTGAAACAAGAAAAAAATCCAAGCAAAGACGAAAAGAACAAGTAAAGACGAAAAGAACAAGCAAAGACTAAAAGAATAAGCAAAGACTTAAAGCCGCAAAATCGAATAAGCAAAATAATAACAAGCATAGATACAAAACCTAAACAAGATAAAAGAGAACAAATAAAGACGAAACAAGAAAATACAAGAAAAAAATTGAAATAATACATTTAAATATCATAAGAAATACCAAAACACTAATCTAAAAACATACATATATACACACACATATAAATTCTAAATAAAAAATTATTAAGTTTGATCGATAGAGATATCAAAACACGCAAAAAATAATGAAAATCTATACAATACACATGAAATTAAATATAGAATTAAATTGAGAGGATGTTTTTCACCAGTTAGAGAGGATGTTCAGTTGTTTCTTATGGGGTGACACAACTACTTACCGAAGGATTCACTAGTGTCATTGGGTTGATGTATGTTACCCTGTAAAGAAGGGTGGGTTAGGGGTGCATTCTTTTTCTGATTTAGCTCAGACTTGTGAGGTGAAGCTGTGGTGGAGTTTTTGTGCTCAGCAGTCACTTTAGTCTACGTTTATAAGGGCCAAGTATTTTAGGTTCACCCATCCTGGGCTGATTGAGTTTCGTTACCTAGCTTCACCTCTTTGGAGGTGATGTGTGGGATTTGATTCATGGCTGAGCCAAGGATCAGATGATTAGTACGGTCCATTGAGATTAGTTTTTGGTATGATTTTTGGTTGGGGGATTACCTGTTGGCTTTAGTGTATCAGGGAGTAGCTTCTGGGGTTTCTCTTTTTGCTTACTGGGCAAGTTGGCAATGGGATAAAAGCCGATTGTTGGGGGTTTTGCCTTATTCAGTTGTTGAGCAGATTGTGCAGATTCTGATTTCGAATCAGGGGGGTTGATCAGATGAGGTGGAGTTTGTCTTTGGATGAGGATTCTTTGAGGAGTGCTTGGGCTGATATGCAAGGTGTGACCCTAGTTCGGGCCGGGTTTTCTTGTGGCTGATAGAGGCATATTTTGACTTAGGCCTTCTTCTTTATGTGGAGGTTACTCCATGGTTTCTTGGCCACAGATGATGGCTTAGAGAGACGGGGTTTCTATGTAGTATCCAGGTGTGTGTGTGGTGGGGCTATAGAGACTCTTAGACATCTTTTTCTAGATTGTCCGCTTGCAGTTCAGGTGTGGGGTCACTTTTATCGGATGTTTGGGATCAGTTGTTGGCCGTTTCACTCTCTTTATGCTTTGATGCTTAATTGACGGCGTTGTGCTCCTTCTGCAGGTCACGTGCGAGTTCTACTATCGTGCTTTATTCTGTGGCACTTATGGAAGGCGCGGAATGCTTATAGGTTTGATGGACGGGCCTTTCAGGTGTTCGTTGTGGTTTAGAGGATTATGACCGATGTACAGTTGGTTAGGTTTGCTCCGAGTTAGCTACGTCAGGACGAGTGGATTGAGTTTGTGGGTTCTCTTAGGGTCCTGGTCCCTCAGCCTCGGCCTCCTCGTTTGGTGGCTTGGACTCGTCCTGCAGCGAGTTGCCTGAAGATTAGAGTTGACGGATGTTCTAAAGGCAATCTGAGAATGTCTGCGGTAAGGGGTGTTATTCGTGACCACTAGGGTTGGGTTCTTAGGGCTTTTGGCTTGTTTCTAGAGTATCAGTCTATTCTGCATGCGGAGCTACGAGCTGTTTGTGTTGGGTTGTAGTTGGCCGCAGATTTGGGAACTTCAAAGTTGGTAGTGGAGTCAGATCTAGCTACAATGGTTTTTTGGGTTTCTTCTCAAGGTACTGGGTGCTGGGTTTATGCTTACCTGCTTGCTTGGATTCGACGTCTATGTGCTTTTCTCTCGGCTCATGTTTGCCATGTCTTGTGGGAGGCAAATCAGGCTGCAGATTTCATGACTAATTAGGTTTGCTCTGAGCAGCTCAATCAACGATTTTCTGATTCGTTGTCCCTTCTTTCTGGGTTGTTGGCATCCTTGTTTTGGACGTTCGACAGACTCCTCACGTTCGTCAATGAGTTTTATTTTTATGTTTTCAGTTATTTTGCTATGTTTTTGGTGGTGAGTCACCACCTTACTTTTGCTTTGACTTTCTTCCTCCCACTTTGTACTTATGGAGGCTTAGCTTTATGTCCTCCTTCCTTGTACTTTTTTTTTAGTTATATATACAGGTAGGAGTCCTGCCAAACCTCCCTACCCCTACTGGGTGGCTTTGAATAAAAAAAAAAATCGAGAAGTAATATTAACTTGTATCTTATTGGAAAAATTAATATTGAAAAAATATTTTTGTGAGTGTATGAGATGAGACAGTAAATGAAACTCTAATTGTGAAAAAAATATAACATGAGTTTACTTATTGAAGGGATTGTATATAGCATAGGTTGGGCTTAATTACTATTGAAGTGGGTATAGAGCGATGTATTTAGTAATTTGATAATAAAGAAATAAATGTAGTGAGAATGAATATTTGTGGGGTAGGAATAGCCCCACCCAAAAACTTGGGATCGATCCTAAGTTTTTTGGATCCACCCAAGTTATATCTCATTTTGTTGTAACTTACTCATTTGGATCGTAACTTTTTCCTAATGAAATCCCTGATAACCAAATAGTGCTACTATTCGAATAACTGCTAGTAGACCGTACGTTGTTTTGTTGTTGCATTAATTTTCTTGACAGCAATAGTTGAAGGAGTATCATCTGATATAACCCCTTTGTAAACACTTCCAAATCCACCAGTTCCCAACAGGTTTGCTTTGCTGAAGTTATGCGTAGCTTTTGAAAGTTGCCTGTAAGTATAAATCCTAGGAGCATTGGCTACATTTCTAGTCAGCATGTCAAGATCCTCATTTTTCCCACTTCTCTTTCTCTTGCTCCTCCTAGCTTTCAGGGCAAATGTTAAAGCCAATGCCAATATAATCAACAAAACCACAACCACTGGAACAACAACTATCAGCAAAATCTTATCATCTCTCTCGACTCCGCCTTTCAAGGACTTTTTTGGCAATTCATACACTGTGAAATCCCAATCAAGAACTTGATGGGTCTCAGAGGCTTCGCCAGTGGATGCTGTGAAACCCACGTACACATATTTTGGAACTGTGTTCTTCATTATAATTTTCTTGTTGAGGAAATTGACTAGAGGGTCCCCAGAATATGCCACATAAATGTAAAGTGTTTTGTTCCATCCATCGTAGTCAATTTTAATTTTGATATCTTTACCACTCTTCAGATTGATTCCTGTGCTGTTGAGACTCTTGGATGCAACTGGGTTGGTTACACTTATTGTGTCGATTGCTATATGATTTCCATCTTCTTCATTTTCGTTCCTGAATGTATCTAGCTCCACTGCAAGTTGTCGAAGAACTCCACCTACATTTGCAGATTAAAATGATTGCAATGTCGTAGAAAACATGATCAACAAAGCTCGAATCCTGGACGAAATTGTGTTGACTTTTAAGCTAAATACATTTCTAAAGAATCTAGCATGATTGAGTTTGAGTTTCTGAAGAATCAGTTCTCGTAGGTAAAACAATCACGAGTCCTTAGTCACCATGTTCATGGGACTAATCGATTAATTTTCTTTGTCACACTCAAGATAAGTACCCGGGTTGGAACTGGTCGCATCAACTTAAATGCTTAAACCTATGGATAGTGAGTCAATTCATAGTGTATTATGGCCCTTTCATTTGTTTCTCCATATGCCATCAAATGACATGTAAAATCTCAAGAAGTTGAAGAGAATGAACCGTTTTTTTTTTTTTCAATAATACTGAATCTTAAAACTCATGGTGGTCCAATAAAGACCTTATACTGGTAATCCAGTTAAAGAACTTACTCTTGTTTTTCAATTCATATCAAGGTTGGACCTCTGTAGACAACAAGATTTAATTTTTCTTGCACTTAACAAAAAACAAAATCAGACAATCTTCATCAAAATAAAAAACAAGAAAGCAAAGAAAGTGGGAGGAATGAACCAGAAGAAGATTCAAGAAAAAAGAGCTAGGGTTTAGAAAATATTCCGTGTGTACATTAAAAAACAAAAGACAATTGTGTGCACTAGATTTGGTCAGATGAATTAGAGATGCATACGAATTTTCACCTTGAGTAGCTGAATCAAGAATTCCAAGATACGAGCCATAGCTTTCCGATGGTGACGGTTGGTCATCCTGAGCCATAATAAACGCCATCCCATCGCCAGATTTACTGTGGTTGGTTATAATCCTCGCCGTGAAGGTGGTACTAAATGACACCGGCCAGGCAAGCACAGGGTAGCGGAACAAAACCCGGCCAACCTGGTTCTCATTGCTTGGTTGGTCCATAGTGATGTTCAAGCTCCCATTGCTGGCAGTAACAGATCCCATGCAGATCAAATTGCCTCCATTTCCACAACTTCCCGAATCAAAACCCGGGAACGAGAAATTGTAGGACTCCACAAAGCTAAGAGAAGCTTGGCTGAACAACCACGAGATGGTTAAAAGCATCAACATGGTCTCATAGGTGCATAGTGTTGTGATAAGGTGAGATATTAAAAAAAAATAGAATTAAAGTGCGTCTATATTAACAACTTTCAGGCATCAATCTTCTAGCTTGAAAGTAACATTTGTGGAAAGACATGCAGCCGTACGTTGCACAAAAGTCTTGGGATGACGAGAAATTTTTATATGTGTACAACACACCACGTGGATTGATCCATGAGGTGTGTACATGCAATAGATAGCTGCCAGATCATTAATGTGTCAGTAAAATCTTGTCTGTTGTCAACTAAGCTGCTTAGTTTCAATTTTTAACAGAGTGTAACGTCGAAGTTAACTGAGCCAACTCTAAGAAAAAAATAGCACAAAACCCGAGGTTCTCATTCCAAATTTTTAAAATTTCAAAATTCAAAACCCTTTTGGTCTCTCTCCATCAGTATGTCCCTCTCTCTATCTCTGTTCACTCGCCACATCTCTCCTTCAGAATGTGTTTCTTCCTTATTCTCTCTCTGTGCACACCATAGCTCTCGGCCATCACTATTGGTTTCTCTTTTTCTCCAAACCACTTCTCTGTATTCGTACATTACCAAAGTCTCCGATCATATCTAGGTTATATTGGTGGAGAAACAAGTGAGAATTTCACTTTCTCTCTCTAAAGTGATCCTAAATATATATTTCATTTGTTGGTAAGTCAGTTATATATGTATTTAACGAGTGCCTTAATTGACTTATATCTTTTTTTCTTTTTTTGTTTCCTTGCACACAGAGATTACATGCTACACTCCTAGATTCTCAGCCTTATAGAGGAGAGAGGGATCTAACCTCTATAAATGGCTTCTTTTGGTCTGTGGAGTGAGGGATCCAACGTCTACAAATGGCTTCTTGTGAACTGAATACCAGACAACGTTATGTGATGAATGGGTGCAAAACTTTGGACTTTGGGTTTAGTTTTTCTACTTTTATCATTTATGTAATGAAAAGATCTCATAAATGGGACAATGCTAACTTGGTGTGAATGGATGATGTTGATTTATTATAAAAAAAAGTTTTGTATATATATATATACATGCTAAAAAAATATATACATCAACTTGTCTTGCTCTCTGTTTTTAGAGGGTTAGGCTTTAGTGCTACTCTATCCTTTTCTGAAAAATGAGTTGTTGTATAGCATTCTAAGTAATTTTGAAGGCTTAAAAAAAGAATTGATGAGCCTCGGTCCTAATTGATTTCCTGTGTTCCATAAAGAATTTTAACTTGGCACAAGTTCTGCTTAACCAAATCATAAACATTTGAAAATCGGTTGTAATTGTGTTTTTAGATCCAACACACAAATTCAATCGATATTAGTGTTATAAACATTTTTTTCTTTCAAAATATAACACTATTTGACATTTATATTGCCACTACAGTTATGAATGTGCTTCCTTTCATCCTAATATCAACAAACCTAATTTGTAGTTTCAGTTAAAGTACGTGCATGTGTTGGGATTTTCTTTGATAAAGATTTAAGCTATGCAAGCCTACTTGTCATTCTCCTATAACAATTTAGGTGATCATTTATACACGCTTATTTCTTAGTTCAGTATTAGCTTTAGTTTGCAATAAAGCTAATGGTTTGCCCTTTTTTAAAGTTCAAAGAAAATCAAATTTAGTTCCTAGAAACTTGAAGAATAAATTAACTGCTCCAAGGATATCTTTGGGCTATTAATATTCCTTCATGAAGTTCTATAGTCCATGAGATTTTTTTACCATAATTAATGGATATGAGCCTAAAACAAAACCTTGGAATTGATAAAGATTGAAAACCACTACCAGATTCTCCCCACATCTGCTTTCCTCATATATATTTTTTTGAAAGATTTTAGGGTATGGAAGAAAGAATCATCAAATATAAGGAAATAGTTGCAATAAAAAATCCTCTATGCAAACTAGGCAAAATAATCGGAGGAGTTCACATTGTTGTACAGGCTTGTCCAATATGGTTTGAAGCCCTGAAAGTACATCACAAACAATACCACAAAATATTACATTAGACCTCAACCCAGAAGAGTTTCAACAAAACAATTAACTCATTTTAATTCATCTTCTCATGGAGTGCTAGCCAACGGCAAGGATGGCTTTACCTGAAAATCATTGAAAATTTAAAAAAATTATATTAAATCAAATTCTAGGGACAAAGAGGTTATACATATGTCCTTAGTAAGAAGTACTGTTCCCAAAATTGCATATGTAAGAAGCATACATATGTCATTTCTTTTGAATTTCGACAATAAAAATTAAATGTATTAAACTAATTAGAATCATAAATAAGTTTATTTTGGACTGCATTATATCAAATTACTAAGAAGATCAGCATAGGTAGTGCATATTATGATAACTTAGGGAAATTATCCCATGAAAAATCATTTGAAATAAATATTTCAAGTTTTCATTATATATATATATATATATATATATTGAAATTATATTAGGTTATGTATGTTTAGTGAATTCAGAACTCTGCTACAAATGAGGAATAGAAAATTAATGGCAAATCCATTATATTTCATAGCAAAGCCTTTGGTGATTCATCTTATGAGTTTGTTTCTACTGCAATCTTAATTCATGATCAAATTATTTTACTCTATGCGAAATTGAACCTTTAAAAGAATTGTTTTATTTAAACTTACATTTGTCTTGTTTCAAATTAATCTCCAACTGAAGTTACCATCGTGAAAATTATTTAGATTTTTCTTTAAAACTATAAGAAATAGCAATGATATTCTTTTAAATATCCTAATTGTCATAATTTTTAAGATTTTAAAAAATTCCTAAAATCCCAGTTTCTCCAAATGTTACTTTGCCACCCAAGACACAACCCTCTCCAATCCCAACCATATCCCTAACACCCCCCCACCCCCCAACCCAACTCCAATGGAAAAAAATAAAAACAAAAACAAAAACAAAATTCATGGTTTCCTCCCAATTTGAAATACAGAATGAACTAGTTATGAAATTAACTCAATTTAATTTACTTCAGTTTAACAACCTATTGATGATAGTTAATTAAAGCATCTTTTATTTTTCCTTTATGTTTGAATGAAAGAAATCAAGCATTACGGATGACTGTTCACAAAAGAATTGAATGAAAATTCGAATAGAAATGAACCAACATCTAATAGAGCACTTATAACTTAATACGTAACTAATATTAGAGAATAAGAGAAAATGCTTATCACATATGTGAGATATTAAGATCAAGATTAGATCAAATGTTTAGTGAAACAAATAACTTATTAATTACTCAAAAATATCATTAGTTTAACAAAATAAGCACACACCAAATATAATGTCACATTTAACCAAAATCTAGAGAGAGGCATAGAGATCCACTCCATTAATTTTTGTTGCATTTTGATTTCATGCCATTAGTATTTGAAGACCTCATCATCCATAAAGGAATAACAGAGAAAAGGAAAAGAAAAAACAAAGCAAAGCATACTATTCTTAATTGGTTAATTTCAACAAAAATTAGATTGATCAAATGAGTTTTGGCCATAAATTTTAATATTGTATTCTAAACAATTTAATTTTTGTTGAAAAACATAGCACTATAATCCGATGATTAAAAAATTCTTTTTTTTTTTCAAAATTAATTTGGTTAAGTGAACATTCGTATGGTAGGCCCTAGTATTCTAATACTTAAGTCTTGATGGAAAAGAGCCGAATCCGAGAAAGTTTTTATTTTAGATAGTATTTCAGAGAAATGTGGAAGAAACTGTATATGCTATTTAGTTTCCCCTTATTTTTTGGAAAATTATTTATTTTTTTGTTCAATTCACAAAGAAATAAAGCTCATGAAATTGATAAATATAAAACAAACCTGATCGCTTGATTATTATTGCTTCATTTCACTAAAAGACGATGGAAGGGATGTGTTGGACTCTGTCAAAATCTTCTACTTCTTTCCCGTCTACAATTCGAATCCTTTCCGTGAATTCATTGGGCATATTTCCAATTGACAACTCTTGGAGAGTAGTGATGAACTTCAATCTCACCGGAACCCTTTGCAATCTGGCGCAAGAAAAGATTATTAAAGTAGAAAGTTTTGGCATGGCTCCTTTATCCACCCTCCACTTTTGTAAATTGCTTAAATCAACTAGTTCAAGTTTTTTGAGTTGTGGAAAGCCCATAGCGGAGCAGACAATTCCCCCCCCCCCCCCCCCCCCCCCGATAATGACGTCATCGTTCAAGAAGAGTTTGTGTAAATTAGGAAGCTTTTCCAACGTTGCCATTGGGGCATGCTTCCAACTTCTCAAGTACATGACATCCTAGCAATTGGGTTAGGAGAATTAACTCGTCTTCAGAACAAAATTTGCATTCAATTTCGAGGGATAAGTTTCGTCGGTGGGTGATGTTTCCTACATGCTTCATGATTGCTGCCAAGTCCTCAAGGTTCTCATTCACATGTGTTGTTAATTCTCAAAGATTGGTTAATTTGAAAATATCTTTAACCTCATAATAAGCCGGATCAAAGTTCTTGAGTATCTCCAGTTTGCTCAAGCCATCCAACCTTACTTTTCTTGCTCCAAAATAAAAATCTGGGAGATATAGATCTCTTAGTCGTCTCATCTTACTAAGAAAATTTACCTTCCATAATAATAGGATGTCGGCAATCCTTAAATCAAATGTTTGCAAGTGTTTTAAGTTGCCTAAACATGATGGGTAATCAATGAATGAAGACCCTCTCAAACTCAGGTACCGCAAATGGATTAGATTACCTATTCCTTTTGATAACTTCCAATGATTAATGATCATGAAGGGTGCTTCAATAATTTTATGATTTGAACTAGGTGTCAGCCTTCAATAGCTAAAACGAGCATCTTGAAGTTGTTAAATGAGAATTTCATCATCGGTGAGATACGTCCATCATATTCATTTGATATAAAGACCGAAAGTGACCGGGGGTGCCGGGCTGTTTCCTTTTTAGGGGGAACATATGGGCGTAAATTTGCCTCACCAAATAAATGGAAAGCCTATGAGTATTATTGGTCGAAGTAGAGGATTCCATTTGCTCATGATCATATCCATGCCGATAATCAATGACCTTGAGGAAATTATCCTCTTTTCCCATGGATAAGCATAGGTCCCGCATGAGATCATGAAGGCCACAAGATCTAAGCCTTCTAATGGATAACTCCTCCCCTACTCACACTTGAACTATGCATCTCTGTGCTAATTTACCTAAGTAACGTTCTGCTACATTTATCATTGTTTCCTCTTCTGATCTGTCATCTGACGACACCATACCTTCTGCCATCCACAATCGTTATAATCTCTCAACCTCTATCTCAAAATCTTCCTCGAAATTGACCAATTAAAGAAAAAACGGTTTCAACTGATATGGAAGTCATCATAACTTAAAGCTAATATGTCTACCACTCGTCCACCATGATCAGTGCTTTTGCCCTTGCTTAGATATGACTTAACATTTTTGTGTACTAAGTCCTACTCACTTAAGGCCTCTTTTGTTGCCAAAAGTCCTCCAAGAACAACCACAGCTCATGGAAGAACCCCCACAATATTTAACCATTTTTCTCCCTAACACAATTTTTTCAACATAACTTGGGTCTGCAAAACAATAAATATAATTGATGGTGTGATTTACGCAGTTGTGTAGTTGAGCTTGGGGCTCAAAAAGGGGAAATTAACTAAAAATTTATTAAGGATAATGCTGGGGATTCATTGGGATGTCCAGTTTGAGCTACTAGGTTCATAGTGGTTAATAGCCAATCACAAAAACAACAACTATCAATCGATAGACAGTAGATTTATAGTGGTTCACTAGCTTGAAAGTTTGGCTAGTCCACTCTAATGGAATCTCTTGTTCTTGGGGGTTTTTCTATTATTTGGGGAAAAAGATTACAAGACAACAGATAGTTTATTCACGGATATTCTAATTAGCCCCCTCCATAGCGAGGGAACAGTCCCTATTTATAGTGTGTAGGGGCTTCGCGTAATCAGCGTGACCCCTGGGTGGTCGTTGTGATCCTTTCATAAAAGCAAGGATCCTTGCATAATCAACGTGATCATATGAGGGTTGTTACAACTTATGTGTCAGGAATCTCTGGCCGTTAGAGACTATATTATCTAGGCCTGATGTGACTTTTTGAAAGGTTTGAGCTGTCGCTGTCACATTGTGATTGAGGAAAGACCTGAGGTGAAAGAGCTGAGTTTGAAGGTTCGAATTGGAGACCTGAGCTCGAGGTCCGATCTAGAGACTTGAGCTGGGAGGTCCGAGCTAGAAGACTTAAGATGGAAGACTTGAGTTGGGAGTCTATGCTAAGAGGTCTGAGCTAGAATACCAGAGTTGTGAGCTTCGAGCTAGAAGACCAAAGGTGGAAGACCTGCGCTGCTTCTAGGCCGAGCTTAACCTTGGATAATTTTTGGTATCATCAATAACAAAATTTCTCCAGTGGCAGAAATCGTGCACAAGATTATTGAGAAACTTTTGAATGCCACTCGAGCATATAGGGTTTTTCTTTGGCTGTGGAAACAAGCAAATAGAATATTGACCAAAAAGGTTTGGCTTCTTTATAAGAATATACGTAGAATTTTTTATGTGTATAGGTAGATAAATGAAGCACATACTTTCACTTGTTCACTTAATTAAAAGTAAAGATAATTGAAGAGTTTTTTTTAGCACAGTACTACACTAATAATTATATATGTATATATGATAAAAACACGATAATTTCACTTCTACACTTGGTAAAAAGAATGTTTACGTGACTTATACATAATACTTTAAGGTGTAGTGTGAGAAACTGTATAATTGAAAGTGTAAAGTGAAATAAAGATAATAATTTAGGGAGCAAAAAGAATTCTAGACAAGTGGGTTTATGATAAAATGATGGGCTAATCAAAATCTAATTTTTTTTTGGATATGTTTGATAAGATGGATTGACGAACAAAATAAAAAGATGCAAAGTTTGAGAGTTCATTAATGTCCAATTTTAACTTCCATTACGACTTCACATAATTACAATAAGAATTACCATTTTATATTGTCCCATTGAGTTTTGTTTTGTGATAACTCAAACACAATTAATATTTCGTGATCTTACAGCACGAGCCCAATTATCACAACGAAGATTGTGCAGTACGTGCTACTAACAATTAATATTACTGTTTGTATCCTTCAAAAAAAATTATTACTGTTTGTCAAACATTTCCATTGAGTTCAGAAGAAGGTTTTATAATATTTAGAGTTCAGGAAGAACTAAAAAATTTTAAGACCATATTTCAGGAAAACAAATTCAAATAAAATACATTATCCTATTAAAATGTATTCCTCTACCTACACCAAAAAATTATTAATCAAAGCATCTTGCAATAGAATAAATGTCCATTTCAAGACATGCAACGAGTCACAATAGGATTGTTACTACATTTGTAAATAAAAAGGAAATTGAAGCTTTTTTATTAATAATAAATTGCAACCAAGTTGACGAGAATTTTGCAGTAAGAGAAATATAGGAGATATATACAAAATGAAGGCATGTACTACATCTATCGGACCATTTGAATAAAATAAAATTGACAATTTGTCATTAAATAATTTTTTGAGGAGTTCCTGAAATTTAAAGACCATGTTCTACGAATTACATCAATCCAATTAGTCACACATTAAATTAAATAATTAGGAATTCAAATTAGTGTTATGTTAAAAAATGAAGTGAGTATTACTCATTTTGGTATTCGAGCAATATAATCAGATAAAATTAAATCACACAAAATATCAGGAGGCCTTAAACCTCAACCTTCTGAGTTCCAACAAAGTAATCAATCTATGCAAATTCTATGCTAAAGGGGAACACACGAGAGGCTTAGTACAAGTTTGTAGAGTCATTTTAAAGTAGATCACAACCAATATCGCAAATATTAGGTAGATATCAGATTTCTACTCAGAACAGTTTCACCAAAGCAATTCACTCATTGTAATTCATCTTCTCATGGAGTGCTAGAAAAGTTTTTAACACCAAGGATGGCTTTACATAAAAAATCAGAAAAAATTTAAAAAATGTATTCAAATCAATCGGTATCGAAATTACATCAAGTTATGTTTAGTGAATTTAGGACTCCGTTACAAAAAAGGTGTTGAGAATTGCATAACATATTGCGGAAGCGTAAGATAAAAAATATGCCTAAATCGCTTTAATCCAAAAACCGTTTGAGGATGTTCCACATATTTTAGAATCCAAATCAACCACTTTTCTTTCATTGCTTGACCGGTATGGTGTTGTTATATAAGACGAATCAACACCAGGTTTTTCACAGTACAAAAGCCTTACAAATGTTATGTAGGGGAGAGAGAAAAGAAAGTAGGAGAGTTTTAACGTTAGATCAATTATCAGAGATACTCATCTATTAGATTCCCTTGAGTTTATATAGTCAACTAATGAGTGTCATTAAGAGACATATTCTATAGGGACATGTCTGTTAATATTTAACAGACATGTATTTTGGGTGGAAAAGAATATCTCCAAAAGACATGCCCCTTTGGGCATTCTTTTATTTGGGTCAACCCACCATGGGCATCTTGGTTCGGGTCCATAACCCAACTAATATCTAACATGTCCCACTTGCACGTTGTGGGTACGACACTGTCATCTCTCTCAATCCATTATATACATCAACATCAATTCTTACAGGCTAACGGATCGTGCGACCGCTGAGCACATCTGTAATTTGGGAGCTCTACACTAGAAACTCTACAGAGCCAGCATAGAGACATCAACCTTAAAAAAAATGAAAATGGTGTCTCAATTACTCTAAACCTATTCAAATACACCGGTTCAAGCATCTCTAATCCCTCAAAATATAAGAGTATGCATAACCCCTCAAAGTTTTTGCCTATACATTTACACTTTGTCACTATCTAAACTAGCACCCAAAGTTGTCAACAGTGAATATATCGTGGGATGGTCCAAATGGTCTTCTTTTCTCCCTCATGTCACTTAGTTCAAAATTAATCACTTTCCCAGCAATGTCGCGGAAGGTCGAATCACTCATGGATGTAAGTAACATGCCAAAGTAACTGAGCATTAATTCTTTCACTTTATGACATAGTCAAAAGTCAAATAGTACATAGAATATTTGGTTAAACAAAATAACTTGGTCATGTAAAAATGACTCGAAGGGCTCACACAGTGTGGAAGCAGGGATTCATTCCTTCACCTCCTTAATTGTCATCAAGCACATGTAGCATGAAATACATGCTACGGTGAAGTGTTTCGATCCTAATGAGAGTGTATGTCATACTCAAATA